GGATGGCGCACGGAAGTGGCCTTCATTTTGTGTTTGCAGTCTATTTGGCAGACACTCAGGTCGCTTGTGCAACTTCAACTGCGAGTTCAAGCTTGTGTTTTTGTGTCAGTTTAGCTGGCGTGACCCTGTGTCCGGGTGATGCAGGGGATGCTGCCCTCACTCTTCGAGCTCGAAGACACAGCGCAGCTGGACTTTGCTTCCTTGTGCTACTATTGGGTGGTCCTATTTTTCCAGGGGGGCTGCCCAAGCCGCAGGCCCTGTGGATACATCATCACGCAAGGATGATACCCCCAATGCCTCAGTGCACTGCCCAGGAACTTGCAAGCGGCGGCGGCTTGCAACCCATGGAACTTGGTGTGGCAGCTTGCAATCCCACAGCTTGGGGCGTTGCTGCCTCTGCGCCTTCACGACCCTTCCTGTCGGGCGGAAAGGGTAGTGACGCAGGATGCAGACAGAACTGGAGGACGGAAGGTGCCTAGTGTCTTGCTAGCGTGATATGAAGACTGTGCCCCTGGAGGCATTGAAGAAAATGATGCCGTGTAGGACTGCAGTTTTGTACCCGCTCGATTGGCGCAAAAAATAATTCTCTTGCAGCAAGCTTTGGGACTGGTCCATTAATTTGGAACAAGTTTCTTTAATTGTGGCGGAGGTTTGTTATTGTAGGTAGACGAGTTGGGTTGAAGCGAGGTCAGGAAGGACACTGCTCACCTGGTGAGTTTCAAATTGCTTTAGTATTGACTCAACTGAATTTAGTAGCGGCAGGTCGGGACCTGGCAACACATTTCTTTATTTCTGGGTGTTTTCTGGTGCTTGGATTAGCGTGGGTCGTGAGCAGTAATCAACTTTAGTATTGGCTTAATTTGAATTTAGTATTGGCAAGTTTTGGGATCCCCGAAGAATTTTAATTGTGGGGCGACTATTCTTATCATCAGGGATTTGTTGTGAAACAATACTAAATAACTGTGCGGAGACAGCGATGGTGCTGGCAAGGTGCCCACCTCAGAAAATGCAACAAGCAAACAAAACACTTCGAGAACCCACCAAATCTCAGCAACTATGTCCACAAAACAGTTGTTTTTTGGGCACGCTCTTTTGCAACCGCAATTTGCGGGGTCTCGGTATTTTGCGACATGCGTCATGTTTCTCCATTGGCCACGTTCTCCTAAATGTGTCCTTTCTTTCAACTTCTGGACTGGGCGGGGCTCGGTCTGGCCCAGGCGGTAAATCTCGAGAGTTTTAGGACTTCGCAAAGTTCCCAAAACCTGCAGGAAATACAAATTCCTGGACAATCCCAAATCCCAAACATGACAGAACAATCCCAATCAACCCTCAGTCAATGCAAAATTTAGGAATTCTCAAAGTTCGCAATCTGTGGAATTCTGGAGGATGTTTTGGCCTTTGCATCCAATGAAGGTTTATAGGGAATGTCCCGTTCTGGACACAGTTTCCGAGATTTTCAGAGTTTCGTAAATTCTCGGAATTCTGGAGGTGTTTTTGCATTTATTATATTCACTGAGTTTGTTTTTTGAATTTTGGCAATTCCCAACATTTTCTGAGGGGATTTCGGAGTTTTAGAGATTCCGGTTGTTTGGGGAATGTTGCATTTACTGAGGGATTTTTCAACATCTCAGCAACTCTGTCCGCGATGGACAAATCCCCAAAAACCCTGCAACAGAGTTCACAAAGATCTCGTATTTGGGAATTCCCACAATTCCTAACACCCCTCAGTAAATGCGACATTCCCAAGCAACCTCTCGAATTCCCAACCAACGAAATGCAGAATCTCAGCAACTTCGTCCGAGATGGAAATTCAGGAGTTCTTTGATTTTTGGGAATTCCCAAAATAGGATTGTTGGGAATTGTGCATTTACGGAGGGTGTTGTTGGAAACGGGGATTGTACCCCACTCACCTCGATCTGGGCTGGAGCTTGTGCCTACCCTGTTTGGGGTTGTCATTGTTTATCTTGCTTGCGAATTGAACCTTTGCATACTGAACACATAAATTTTCGTCAACACGTAATTTTGACCTTTTTCAAGGACGTGGAACAACTCAGCACTCACAGCGTTTGAGTTGTTTGCCTTTGTTTCAACCAGACAGGTCAGCACTTGGTTGCTTGGGGAAAGGCCCTCATCCGGCTTTGTGTATTGCCACTTTGAGCTGACGAAAATCATAGACGATTCCCTTGGACAATTTGGAAGCCCCAAGTTTCTCATAGCTAGCATGCCGACTCCGGACGAATTGCTTTTTAGTGGGTTCCATGGACCTTCGGACTTTCGATAAGAGACTCTGAGTGTCCATGCGTCCATGCTGTGTATGAGCAATATATCCTGCAGGTTCAGTCTTTGAATCGGGCTTCCATCCCAACTGCGAAGCGGATTGGGTCCGTGGGGTGTTTAGTTGGGGCTTGAGTAATACGCTGCTCAAGTTCACATTCGCATCCCCGAAGCTTTTGCAAGTGATATGGGTATGAGTCAAAATAAAACCACCAGGGGACCGCAGATTTTAGTCTTTGGTTCCATTTACCAGGGTTCCATTTTTGGGTACCTATTTTTGACCCACAGCCCCATATGCTTCCTGTGATGCGGGCCCCAGACGGAAGAGGACATTTGGTCCACAGGGTGTCCCGGTTCCTGGCTGCAAGGTTTCCTACTGCGGATGGTTGCGACATCCATTTCGCACCACGAAGTGAAACCATGGTTGAACCCATAACGTTTGTTGGTATTTACGTTGGGGCATCGAATTCATGTACCGTTGGGTTTCTGAACTGTGCGACATGGCTTTCGCCACCATCCACAGTATATGGGAGCGTTGGGTTCAAACCAACATGGAAACCATGGGGTTGCATACTCCAAATTGGGTCCTTGCCATTCTTTCAATAGGGGTTGAGCCCAGAAAAAGACATGGTTGTTGTTTGGAAACATGTTATATATTTTTGCTTATTGTGGTTTAGTGGTTGAAACCCCCACTTAACTGCTGAAATTTAATTTGCTGCTCCCCTAACCCAAGGTCCAGGAAACGGGTGGCGTCGGCTTTTTGTTGGTCTCGTTTCGTGGTTTCAGGCCACAGCTCTTCTGCTCTGCGGATCCCCTGGGTGGGGTGTACCTCAACTTCTTCGAGCGCGGAGACCAACTCGGCTGGCACTTCGACCGCTCGGAGTACTCGGTGAACCTGATCTTGCGGGAGTGCCCCAGGAGTCGACTGGAGTCGACTCCGAAGACAAGTTTGGCGCGTTTGGAACGCAACCGCCTGGGACCTAAGACCCACCAGTTCCGATTGAAGAGACGTTTGGGAGCGTCCACTTGCAAATGGTTGGACAGTGTGCTTAAAGAGGATTGAAGTCTTCCAACACTCTTCCATCATCTTCCAGGTTGGAAAGATGACATGCGGCATGCCTTGCGAGCTGAAAGCGGTTTCCAACTCAGACGTGGGCAGCGTTTCGTTGGGTCTCAAAAGGGGATTTTGCTCCCAGAAGCTGGATTGTACCGTGAAGCGGCTGGTGCTAGTTTTCTTTTTTGAATGGAGGCTCCAAGGCTGCAAACTGAAGTTGGGCTTCCGAGTTCGGACTTTCTTGCGGGCCAATTCGAAGGCCAGCAATACCTTCCAACTGATCAGCAAAGTGCCGATGGGCGTAACCGTGAAGTTTGGCTTTCAACAAAGCGACTCTTCGAGCATATGCACATATATACGTGCACGTGCATATGGACACCCCCCGGCCAACAACTCTTCGATCGGCGAGGACGGCGGCCAAAGCGGGGCAGTTTATGTACCTCCCGGACTCTCGGCCCTTCATCGACGCGCGCGTCGATGACTTCGACGTGGCCCAGCTGGGCAGCGGCCTGCGCTTTGATGGGCTGAGTGAAGTGGTGGAGCCTGACCTCCAGCCTGGGACCTTGTACTCTGAGTTGCAAATGGGGTGACGCCTTTTGTTTGTATTATGACTATTATTTTGTTTTTATTATTATTATCGTCATTATTATTTTTATTTTTATTTGCTTATTGAATTAGTTTGTTTTGTTTTGTTTTTGGGGGGCTTGATCCTTTTTAAAATCCGCATCCCATGAAAGGGCGTTCTTTCTTCCCCTCGTCCTTCTTTTTCCGGGCTCCCCTTTGCCCTTTAAAAACTCACCACCTCTAAGAAATGGCATCTTTTTTTCTCCATGGCCTGGCAAGTGAGGTACCTCTTTGCGGGGAACCGGAGCTTGCACTGCGTCTCGGAGAACACGACGGACGTGACCCGCGTGAATGCCATCTTCACCTTCAACCCGCAGCCGGATGTGGCTCTGAACGCATACACCCGCCGGAAGTTTTTCGGACGGTGAGCGAGCGGTCGCCGGCCATGGCACCGCTTCAGCTCAGCAACTCTTGGGAGTTCGGCGATGAGCCAGTTCCGAAATTCTGGCACCTGAGGACGGTTTTCTCAAAATAGAATTCTGAGAGATGGGGCTATGATCCCAAGCGAATTCTTAGAATTCTCTCTGGCATTCTGAGACAAATTCGCGTATGATCCCAAGCAGAAGGACGGCGGGCTGGCCCGCGGGGACCTTGGGGCAATGCGCGGGCCCGAGAGACGCGAAGCAATCGCCTTTGTCGCGAAGCGTCTTCGGCGGTTTTCTCGTGGTGGATAGTTGTGTTTGGGGGACCCAGCGAGCGTGTGCTAACACGTGCTAACGCATGCTACTCCCGAGCACAGAAGCTGGTTTTACCAGGGGAACAAGAGGCGCAGGAGAATGAGCACAATGCGTGCGTCACAGAACCCATGTTCAGTGATGAGTGTAACCTTCCAAACAACTTCCTGTGAGCTTCCGTGCTTGGAAGGGTACATGGCCGGTTGGTGGACCAACCCTCAGGCCCCAAAAGCATTCTGAAGTTCGAGAATGGACTTTGCAGTTGGTTTCTGTTGTTTCTTTCTTTTTTTTGGAAGCAACCTTTTGCCTTTGTTCTTCCTTTCATGCGCGTTCGGGGGAAGGACCCGGGACATCCCGGGACCACGCCTCGCCAGGAGAAGGAGGAGCTCCAGAAGCGCGTGCGCTCCGCGGAGCAGGCCGCGGAGGGATCCCCAGCCCCTTCAACATGGAAAACTGGGGGAGGGATTTCTCCGCTGGAGATCTGCCATTTAGGCTGAGCCATTTTTTTTTTTTGGTTGGAAGACTGAATAAATGGAATTGTGGGACCCCCCACCCCCCTCCCCCTTGAGGTCAGTGCCTGTCTGGTCTCTGTCTGCCTTTGTTTGTCTAGGTCCCCCAGCTAGGTGCCCTCTGGCCTTTCACCGTTTCTTTTTTGGTTGGGAGGGTTTCTCAACTAAGCTATAAAGGACACCTATGCCCACAAGTACTCCCAACAACAGTGGGGTGACTACCACGCCCTTACAGAACTCCGATCGGTAGCTCCTTAGCTCCCGCTTAAACAAATGTGGTGTCAGCTTGCACCTAGCTGGTGGTTGCAAGGGAGCCGTTGGTGAAGGCTGACATTTTGTCATTTTATTTTTTTTTGAAAAACATAAGAGCGAGCTAAGGAGCTACCGATGGAAGTTCTGTATGGGCGTGGTAGTCACCCCAGTTTTTTGGGGGGAATACTTGTGGGCATAGGTGTCCTTTATAGCTTAGTTTCGCAAGACATAGATGGGTTCCACTGGTTTAGATGGGTTTCATGCCCCATTTATCATAGGTTAGTTAACCCCCCCCCCACCCCCCCCACCCCCCCCAAATGTGATTTTGAGTGGCTTCGGGAGGGGGGGATACGGGGGGGGGGTTAACTGACCCATGAATTTACCAGGGAAATCCATCAATTTTCCTGAAAAGGTCACCCGTGCTTTTGTGGAGCTTTCGCCTTCCAGGAGAGGCAGCAGAGTGAGTCCCAGTCGGGCGCCCGAGCACCAACAGACGGAGGGTTGAAACCGTGTTGGGTTTCACAGGGAGGCCAGAAGAATGTGTTGTTTTTCCTCTTTTTTTGTGGTGTAGTTTTTTTGGTGTGCTTTGTTTCCCCAGATAGCTGAAAGCTGTAGGAGTTCCAACTTCGAATAAAAAGGGGTGGATTTGCGAGATTGACGGTTGGGTCTTGGGGTGTTCGTGTATGTGCTGTTTGGGGGTGCTGTTTGGCGCTGTTTGAGGTGCTGGTGAGGGTGCAGGTGCATTTTGCGAGATTGACGGCTGGGTGCTCTGGGGGTGCTGTTTGGGGGTGCTGTTCGGGGCCACGGTGAGGGCGCATTGATGGCGGGTGCTGGGGGGCATGTAGTTTGGGGTGCTGGTGCAAGCGGTGTTTTAGGGGGGGCTGGTGAGGGGCGCAGGCGCATATTTGCAACATTGACATTGACATGCTGTTTTGGGATGGTGCAGGACGGGTTCTCTGTTTGGGGGTGCTGTTAGAGATGGTGCGCAATCATTGGCCTGATCTTTGCTATCTGGGGTCTATGCTGGTGTATTGTTTCTTGTTTGTTTTGTTTTTGGTATTTTGTGGGGGCCCTTGCTTGAGTGGAAGTAGATGGTGCGATTCTCGCATGTTGGTTCGGCAATCTTTAGATTGAGGGAACTGTGACGAATCCGCTTTCACCCTGGAGTAGAGGCAAACCCAAAAATGGCGGGGGTTCAGGCCCACTTCTGGTGCTGAAAATCATGGTCGAAGGCTGGAAGAAGCCAACCAAGCCTTTTGGCCTTTTGGCGGTCAAAAAGAGGAAGTGCAAGAGCAGATTCCCTTCAGAGTCGTCCAACGGTGTGCATAGCTGTTGCTGGGCAATTGATGTGTTTTGGTGCTTGCCCAGAATTCTCTGAATATGGCCACCTGACGCTCTCCCCGTGTATGGCTGGTTCACCTTGATGTGCATTGAGTATACATGGGGCAGCAGGGGCAGACTGGGGAGGTTTTGGGGGAGTCTAGAACGAGCATTGTGTTGAAGGGTTTTGTTGGCCTTGGCGGGCAGGTGTGCGCAAACGAATCACAAGATTGTAACATCAAGATTCGGGCAGCTGTTGGCTCAAAATATTAAATAAGTTCAACGACAAAGGGGCAACTGTTGGAGGTAAGAGGAACATATCAAGTTACGCAATTTGCCATTTGTGTTTTGTTCTCGCTGGGGTCCTCCCCTGTCAGTCCCTATAAAAAGGGTATGTATGTGTCAAAGGGCCCTTTACACCAAAACAAAAAGAGCAACCTCAAACCAACACCCAGCTCGTGTCCGCCACATGTGGTGTTTTTGGGTGTGTGGTTCATTGCTAAGGCACATTCAAGAATGCTACCAGACTTGGAAGTGTCTCAAAATCGTCAACCCCTTCTCGGAAGGTAACGGGACACCAGAAAGGAAAGAACACATGTGTGGTGGTCCTTGTGAAAACCCCCAGTTGATCGCCTCAATCCATCGTTTGTTTGCATGGGTTGATTTGCCCCATGGAACCCCCAGACAAACCGACCGTCCGCAGGGTTCCAGGGGCTTGAGGTGCCGAAATCTACTCACGTCCGAGGATGGATTCTACGCGTCATGAGGTGAGGAGTCTGTGCCTGCCTCAGAACAACTTCGATGCGTTGTTTTTTGGCGAAAGGGCCACTTTTGTTTGAACGGGTAAACCAAGCGAAACTGAGTGAAGCTTCCCTGTAGCTTTTAGGGTTTAGCGTAGTTTTCATTTAACCCACTAAAAGTTAAACTGTTAGCAGGGATCCGAGTAAGGAAAATGAGAATAAACAGTTGGTACACCAAACCCAACTTTCACTTGAGGTTCCTTTTGATAGGGCGATGTTCGAGGCGGATGTTTAAAGACGACCTCTGGGGCATGTGTTGCGGAGTTTCCCAAAGTCGGACGAATAATATCACACATGTAGACACGAAAGTCAGAGACGTTCACTCGACGTTCACCGAACCAAACCCATGGCCTTTGGACAAATCCCACTCCGCCAGGCAATCGCAGCTGGAAGCCTTGAAGGGGGAGAGGCGGGTCGATTTTGACCGGGCTGTCCACTTGGCTCCAAATCCTCGGGCTTAATCCGCCCTAAGGAAAAGAAACAAGAGGCCCGGATAAAAGACCGCATGCAAAAAAAACATACCAAGGCAATGGCATCAATGCCCAAGGGGTTCCGAGCGTTTTTGAGAGTGTCCCTGAAAGCATCTTGGAATCCCAGGACTTTCTACGATCCAGGGTGTTCAATCCCAGTCCATGCTTTTTTTTTGGCATTTGACTACAGCTCCTAAATGAGTCAAATGCGGTCCTCAAAAGTTGGACTGGAGGTTTTAAAGGGACACCGAAAGGAGAACAGCCATTTTCGGGTCCCCCTCTTTGGAGACAAACCCCGGATGTATTCCCTACATGGCCATGGTTCAAAACCAATGGTACCATTTTGGGGTAGGTGAATTCACCTCCCCTTTTAGTCTATTCTAGTGGGGATTGGGATGTTCACTGGGGGTACGGGGTTTTGACCCATGGCCACATGAGCGAGCGCCCAACACCGCAGTGGCGTTTTAGTAGGTGGTTCTGCCTGGTTTAGCCTGTGGATTCTGGTCCTTTATCCCCTCCCATCCACCAACATGGAACTCAAGTTTCGGGGTCGCGGTTTGGACGATTCCCCCCGTTTCGGGGCCCTGCGGGGTTCCACAACCCCCTGAACAGGAGTGGTACCATGTTAGGACCTGAATCCATGTGAGGACCCGTTTTCGGAGGGTACCTAGCGTTTGTTACTTTCAGCACACAAAAAGTGAGGTGGCTTCGACTTGACTCTCTCTTATCTCACCCAGCCAGTGGACACACTTGACACTTTTTTCCTTGGTGGCTCTCCCTTCATTTCAGTGGTGGCGCAAAAAGTGTCCACTTTTTTTGGGCCGGTCACCGGCCAAGTGAGTTCTGCCGTGCTCATGCCCCCCCCCCCCTTTCCTTGTTTTTCTTCTTCCCCCTTCCCCCCCTTTTCCTGCATGTTTGTTTTTTCCCCGCCCTTGTTGTTCCACCCCCCCTTTTCCTGTTGTTTTTGTCCCCCCCCCCCCTCGTTTTTCCTTTTTTTCCTGGAGAGTTCCACGTGGGACTCTGCTTTGACGAGTCAGTCACGAGTTCAGGGCCGCCATCCTGGCCCACCTGGCCAGCGACAAGCAGCAGCGCCAGGCGCCCGCGTGCCCCGCGTGCCCCGCGTGCCCGCGGGCGCGAGTGCTTGGCGCTGGGCAACAGAAACACGTGTGTATCTCTGCATATACAGGGCTCCTTAAAAGATGCCCAATTGAAACATGGCTTCTTCCAGAAAAATAAAGGGACACCACCATTTACAAGGCGATCCCTGATATATCTCGACTGCTTATTGGGCAACGGATCTTTAGACTTTAACTTTTTGGTTGAAATAAGGTTGGGTTTTCCACTAACCCCACCCCCCCAAAAGTTCAACACTTTTTGCAGGGGGGTCAACAACAACCATATATATGTATATTATGTATATATATATATATAACCATATGTATAACATGTATAATATAATATATATATATATATACACAAATGTGTATAATACTCCCTTTTCGCGCCCAGAAGAGAAGCGGACCAAGGAAGCCCAGCGGAAACGCACTGCTGTGGGCTCCACGGCACGTCAGGCTACAGATCAGTGCAGTGCTCCTGTTTTTTCAGCTGGCTGTTGGTCAAAGCCTTCTTGGTTGTTTTCATTTTGGGGGGTTTTCGGTGAATTCACCACCCATTGGTTGCCTATTTTAGTGGGGATTGATATCATCGAATCTCTACTCTCTCTCTCTCTCTCTCTCTCTCTCTCTCTCTCTCTCTCATCGCACGGACCTACTGTGTAACTCTGATTTACCGCTTCCGCATGGCCCACGGCGGAAGTCAGATGTGCAGATTCTCTCCCACAGCCCAACAAGTTGATTTTGAGCTAAGTTAAAGGTCAGCAAAATACCAGGCTGAGTGGTTTATATATTCTTCAAAAAGGACCGACTGACCTCAAGAGCTTGGAATCCAACTGAATGAACATTTCGCTCCCTTTTTATATTCACACCCATGTCAGAGCGAAATTGTATTAGGGTGAACCATGACACATGTTGAGGGGTTCCAAGAGGCTCGGTGCTGAAAAGCGGCCCGGGCCACTCTAGCGGTTGGAAGAAACGTATCGAGTTCACAGATTGGATTTGTTGGGTTCGGTGCCAGTTGGACCTAAGATGTCCGTATTAGGTTAGTCTGGTCTAAAAAAAAACATGGCACTGGTTTTGATGGGCTATATGCCCCATCTACCATCTATTTTTCCGAAAGGTCACCTATGGTTGGAAGTACAATTCCCATGGGCATTGCATCCAGTAATGATAGCGTTGGACTGAGTCTCGCCTGAAAGCAGGCACCCAAACCACCCTGCCAGAACCTTCCCCCCCCCCCCCCCGTCGCTCCGTGTCCCATCTCAATCGCGGGGCGATGTGACGTACTGTGGATGGACGAAATCCATTTCGCACCACTTTAAAACCGTGGGAAACCATTGTTTGTTGGTATTTACAGGAGAATCATCATTCCAGGGTGTCTGAACGGTGGTGCGAAATGGATTTCGTCCATCCACAGTAGCGAAAGGCGCTGCAGCATCAGAGCGGAGCCCTTGCGAAGGAGGCCGGGAGTTGATCCCAGGTGGCTCTGTGGTTCGTTTACTTGCAGGTTCTTAGCCGGGAAGCAAGTGGAATGACCCCAAGAAAAGCCATCCCCACGAAGGTGTTTTCGCGCGTTAGTTCCGTTCCAGGGTGTTCGGGGCGTGGCTTTATTTAACAGCCCCCAACTTTTAGAGCCTTTCAGAGCTTCAGCCTGGAATTCGCCATGAGCGTTGGTTGCTAAGTGAAAGCCTGGGTTGCCTTCCCCCGCCCTGACACCCTCACCCCTTCAAATTCCCCACCCGCCCAGACCCCCTTGAAACGTGCTTGCAAAATCACGCCAGAGGGGGCGTTGGAATTCAATCGTTGAAAGGTTTCCAAAGGGCCGCCGTTGCGAGTGGACGGTTGGTTTGCATGTCAAAGGTGCTCCACCGAGGTGGCAAGGTGAAGGGAATGATGAGGGAAGGGAGCGTCAAGTTGGCATTTGATGTTGGAAGGAAGTCATTGTTGAAGAGCTGCGGACTTGAGTTCTCGGTGGAGTGATGATTGTATTGGCGACCGGGTGCACTTTTTGGCGTGGACAATCACCTGCGGATCTAGAGGATTCCCTTGCGAAACAGGGTGATATAGGAGTGTTTCTAGCCACTAAAATGGAATGGTTCCTTTAAATGTTGATTTCCCTGCACTTAATACCCACCAAAAAGGGGGTCCGAAATCTATTGGGCAGCATGAACTCAGCGCCGAGGCTTGTGACAGGCAGGCCTTTGGTTGCAGGTGATGATGAGGATGCTCATGTCACTTGCAGGTCTCCCTGGTCTTTGTTGCATTTTGCTTGGATGTTAGGACTTCAACTTTTTGCCAACAAATGGGTTTTCCGTATTTAACCACTAGAAGTTGAAAGCTTTTAGCAGGGGAGTAGATTTCGCAACCGAGTGGCGGCTCCTTGCGAAATCGGCGGTATCTGCCTGGAGATCCTGTAGGTGACGAGGCCAGACTCGGCTTCTTTTATGTGTGGCTGAAAAAATATTACAGCTGGGGCGAACCGCAGGGTTTGGGCTTTCCCATGTACCAGGTGCCATTTTGGGGATTCCATTTTTGAGCCACAGGCTTTTAACACCAAAGCTTCGATTTCAGAGACTTCGGGGCCAGGTTCAAACCTTGCGGCAGCGTGTCACCAAGTCCGCCGAAGAGGCCGAGTGGTTGTTTCAAGAGTACCCAAATCCACCGAAATGACGTCTACTAAAGGGTCCCCAAATTGAAGACTGTTCTTTTCCTACTTTTTTGTTCTTCTCTTGAGGTCTGCGGGTTGGCAAGTCGAGACATGGAGCAATGCTCAATGTTTACCATGATCTATTAGCCATTGTAGTGCTGGGGATGAAATGCACAACACCCATCAAACCATTGGGAAAGGCCGAGAGTCGCCGAACTCTCATGTCACCTGGTGAGACCAAGCATGTCCAATCCTCGGTGTCTGTGGCGAAGCCATCACGGTGGTAAAGCGAGGCCTCGGCCCCGAAAGTGCCCATCTTGGCAGTTCCAGCGCTATGGACCCGAAAATGGGTGGGATTCCTTTTGGTTTCCATTAAAAGCAACAAAGAGAGCCCCCCCAGGAGCAGATTTGCCCATGTCCAGTTCGCTCGTTTTTGGCCGGGTGCAGCTTTACTGACCCCCGGCCCCTTAAAATTGGCTGCCATGTTGCAAGCTTCTTGAATCCGCCGTCATAGCCATGGCAAAGGTGGGACCCACAGGGTGGGCATTGGGCAAGGAAACCCTTGGGCCCAACGCAAATATGAAACGGGCCGTGCTCAGAAGCCAGCAGTGGACGACGTTTTTCGCACAGAAGCTCGGTCCCCCTCCCCCCCCCCTCCCGGAATCCCGGTTGTTTCGCGGCTTTCGGCCGCGTAGTGACGTGACGTAGTGGCTGAATCTGACCCGGATGCCAACGTCAGGCACGTAATGTCAGCAAGAAACTCGTGAAGCCACGATCACCATCGATCACCTTGAGGCGTTGAGGTCTATGATGGTAATGATTTCTCCAGGGATGGTCGTTCTTGTTTGTGCGTCCTTTTTTGACCCCCCCCCCTACAAGAGTGAAGGGGTTCAGTTGGACATCTTGAATCCTCAAGTCCGCACCAATCTTGACTCCTCGGGTCCCGTTTTTTTTTTTGTTTAAACAAAATTAAGCCCATGCGATGCGATGAGATTGTTCGATCCATAGTTGCATGGGCACTGAGGAATTCCACAGAGTCCAGACCCACAAAAAAGATTCCACATGATGTCCAACATGTCCTGGGGGGAACGAACACAGGCAATTTTGCGACTGGCTCAGTCACGCGCAGCCGTCGGAGCGTCCCGGCACGCAGCGCACGCAGGCGGCGCGGCTTCGGTCAGAGTTCCGGGTCATTGACGAGGAGCTGAAGATGATGAGGCGAGACTCGCGAGGGCTCAGTGCCGCGCTATCTTCGGTGCCGGGCTATCAGGGCAGTGGTCACTGGTCGATTCCTCTTCGTTTCTTCGCACTGCTCTGTCTTCCATCTGACTTTTCCGTCTTCTGTTTGGCAGTTCTGCGAGTGCTGCTGAAAGGCAGCCAGCGCCACGAAGAAGGGGAGCCGGAGCCACACACGCGGGTCACAGGCCATGTTGAGCTGGCGGTTCTTTTTCCCCTGTTTGGTTCATCCCAACGAGGAAGCCCAGATGGGTGGCTGAAAATAGGAGGAGCCCTCCCAAAAAGTGGATGAGGGATGCCCCGAAGCCCTGCGCAAACCGCGCGGCCTTGTGTTTTGTTGGATCTGGCGTGCTGAGCAACATGCTGCTTGAGCCGCGACTTCCGTGGGAGACGAGCCCGCAGCCGGGGGTATCCAAGGAGCCCCGAGGAAGGGGGCTGGGGTCCAGGCCCAAAGCCTGTCCAGGCAGCAGAATGAAGCGGAGGAGCAGAACCGCAAGGCCCTGGAGCAGCCCGGAGCCCCGGCGGCCTTTTTTTGTTTGGGGGGGCCCGATCGTTTTTTTTTGTTTTCTTTCTTTATTTTCTTCTTTCTTGAAGGGAAGCCAAGAGGAACCGAGAGACATATCTGTTTGTCGTGGGGTCCACTCCAACAAACCGCAAAGGGGCCCGAGCTTGGGGCCGGCGCTCGCCCAAAAAAGCTTGGGGGGCGTGGCGCACCCGGGGAGGAAGGTTCCGAGGCCACGGCTCACTTCCCGGGGCTTTAGATTCTTGGATTTGGATTTGGCCCAACGACTGGGGCGGGCGGGCTCTTTTTTAAGGGCAAGGCCGCGGGAAAGGTCGCGGGGGCAGGTTTGAGGGTCCCAGAGTTAGAGAGAAGCTATGATGCGACGTGGTTCTTGGATTGTTCTGCAAGTGTCCGACTGCTTTCGGGATTCCTTTGCTTCAATAGTTGGCTGCTCTGCTCCGGAATCGGAGGGTCAGACGTAGGAAGCAAACGAAGCAGCCTTAGCATTTGTCCGGGGGGGGGGGGGTCGACTTGCTTGTGATTTGTCGCTCCAAAACTCCGCCATCGGCTGTGCAAAACGGCTTTGCCTAATAAGTGGCTGAGAGTTCCCTTTGTTCTACTTTGATTGTAAACATAGAAGTTTCTCAAATGGATTTTGGGCCCCCGGTTGGTATTTAAAAGGGAAGCCAAAAGGAAGCCGTGCCGTTTTAAAGGCCACCCACATCAGCTCTTGGGCCAATTTCAAGCTCGAGTTTCTGAGTTTCCGTGTGAGTGTGCAGGGGGGGGAACATATAGGGAGCCATTGGGCACGCATGGCCCAATCCCCCTGAGGCAAGAAGACCAGGGGTGTCTTTCATGAATTTGAAGGGGCCTTTAGGACACCAACATACACCAACCATTCTTAGGGGAACAACTATTTAAAGAGTACTCGTATTAGTCTCTAAACTTAGCTTTCTTTTCTCCCGGCAGACAGCTAGCTAGCTTGGGGGGTGTGGTTGACCGAGCAGCTTTCAGGGAGTTCCAAATATGGAAATGCACATTCCCCATTTGACAGACCACTTTCTCAGGCATTAAGAGGCTATGAACTGTAAGCCTGCCAAGAAGGTTCCTTGCACTCTAATTCCCCCCAATTGCCCCCAAACCCCCAACTCCCCCCAACCCCCTTCCCATCCTCCTTCCCGTCCAACCAAGCCCGGCCCCCCGCCTCTGCAGCTCCCAACCCCCACCCCTGCCCCCCCCTCAATCCTTTGGTCCTTTCAAACGTCTTCCCAGGAAGGTGGAAGAGATCCAACAGCAGCGGGACTCGCAACGCCAGGCCTGGATTGAGGGCTTCTTCAAATTGGTTTAAAGGGAAATGGAGAGGAAAACGAGCAGTTTATCAGAGGCCCCCCTCTTTGGGCCGTCCAAGTTTCCTGCCACCCACCTTTTGTTTTGTCACTTGGAGGTTCCGCCCCGCCTCCTGCGGGTTCAAAACCGAGCAGTAGATTCGTCCGAGCCCAGCCGCGCGTAGACGTTTTTGGGCAGTGCCCGAAGAAACTGAACCAACGTAGGCGTCCGTTCGTTTTTCTCCGCCCCAGAGGTGGGGAGCACTCCACAGCGTCATGGATACACCATCCAAATACCCCCATGTTCCAAAGCCCTTGTTGAAGGACAGCTTTGCACTACTCCCAAACCACTCCTCCCTTGGGAGAGAAGGGCACTTGCAAAGGAAAACCTCCATTTGCCTAAGATTTTTGTTTTTGGTTTTCCTCCTGTTGGTTTTAAAGGGAATCTATCACTACATGAACTATTTTTTCCAGGGGTCTTCACCAAATGGAAGAGAAGAGGCGGCGCGCGCCTCTTTTCTGGCTCTCAGTTTCAAGCGGAAGCCGAAACCGCCACCTTCCAGGCCCCCAGCAAACCCAAACCCAACAGACGCAAAGGTATCTAAGATGGCCGCCACACCTCAGCACCACTCCCTCCCCAGAGTATTTTTTTTTGCGGCAAGCCTCACTTCCTGAGTTCATGAACTTTTAACTTTTTGGGTTTGGACCATTTTAATGGTAAATATAAAGTTTGGACTTTTTTTGGGCCATCCACTCGGCAAGTGAGAAGCACCCTTCACACAGTGGCTGTATATCCCATCAAACCCCTGAAGGTAGTAGTTGGCTTGGGGGCAATGGAAACCCTTTTAGAAGGTAGAACATAGCCTTGCTTTGCTTTGGGTTTGCCTTTAGGTAACAGCGTTCCACAGGGGTCTGCTCAGAAAAGATGTTATTTTGAAGGTTGACAGAACCAGCGTTGTTTTTGTCTCCCTCTTTCTTGGTGTGTGTGTGTGTGTGCGCGGTGAAACACCAGATTCATGATTATACAGCTTGTTTGGATATATATATATATATGTCTCCAAGTAGGGAAACCCAACATGCGTGGTTTCCCTTTTCCAAAACAAACAACCGGGAACCCTTCGCCTCAAAAAAGACCCAAATGAAAAAACGTGGGCTCCCCTTCCCCCCCCCCCCCCTCCCCCCACAGGTTTCTTTTTGATCCCCTTCCTTTCTTCTAACACCACTCCCCACCTTTTACTTTGCCCTAGTCCTTGTTCTCGCGCCAAAGCTCCGCTCCGAGGCCCTGCGCCGGGTGCAGCAGCAGAACCGGGACCTCCACGGCAAGCGCCCGCCTCGACGCGAAGCGGTCGAAGCGCATGCATTTTGGCGGCGTAGGTGCTGAGGGGTCTGGAAACTTCTCGTTTTTTCTTGGGTAAAAGGAAGGGCGCAACTGCGTGTTCCTTGTGGTTCCCCTCAAGAACCGCCCCAAGAAAGGGTAGCCGCAACAGGTGTCCTGGTGCTCCGGTTCCCGGAAAAAAAAGAAGAAGTCGGCGTGTGCGTTGTTCCTTTTGGTGTTCTTTTCCATCAGGATCTCACCGACTCGCCTCAGGATGGGGGCCCTGCATACTGAGCAGCAGCCGGGGCCCCTGGCAATTGGAGCCGGTAAAAACCGGCATCGGCGCTGGCCCCCCACGCATCGAGGTCGGCCCCCGGAGTCGAATCCGCATGTGTTGCCCAGATATGGGTTGGTTCCCGTTGGGTCCAAGTCTGTTTTTCTGCAAAGGATGGCTTCTGCCATTTTGTTGATTGGGGCCTTTTTGGCAGGGCTCCAGTTTAGGGTATGGCCCCTGAAAGGCGTGCGCTTGTCAGTTGGGGGTTGCATTCCCGTGCTCCACCAGGCTCTATGAACTGTTTCAGGGCTGCAAATCAGTAGATCAGCTTACCTGGGCACCTGTTTGGCTCCTGCAGTAATTTGCCATTCACTTTTTGACCACAGCTGAATCAGGATCCGGGTATACATGTGAAGGCTGGGTGCATCCACCAATGGAAAGCCTGCTGTGAAGGAAGGCGGCCCCAAGTTTGACAAAAGCTTCAGGCTACGCATCCAACAGTGGCTTCCGTCAACTTGACCAATCCAGCTGGACCAATCCAGCGGCTCCAAGCTTGAACTGGACTTGACCAATCTGATTGTCACTTTCAACTTGTACAGACACCATGGCTGGGCGTCGGTTTACTCCCAGCCGCACAGCTCTGCCAAGCTATCTCAGGCTCAAGGCAGGCCTCTGTTCCAAAAAACAGGCTCGCGGCTATCGGAGTTCACGGACTTCACGCTTTTTGGGTTGAGACACTCTTGGTGGAGGACAAGAAGTTCGAACCATTTCTTGGCTGCCAGTCCACTCAGGAGGTGTGCTTACCTCTTAAAAACACAACTTTTCTCAACTTTCTGGGTAACATGGGCTATATGTCTGTAAAAGATTAACTTCCCCAGGGCTTGGAGTTTTAAGGGGTAAGTGCGGCACTTTTCGTATTTTTTTTGGCGAGTGGCGACTGACGAATCCGGAGCCCAGGGTGCTGAAGTCGCAGGCTTGGCTCAGGGGGAGGAGTTCGAGTCGGCGGCGGGGTTGGGTGGTTTTTGAGGCAACCCTTCTTGGTTGGTTTGGTTCAAAAAGGGACCCCCCCCCTCCCCCCTCCGTTATTTTTTGGGGGGGTTGCGGTATGTTTGAGGGTTGTGTCCTTTGTTGGTTTGGTTCAAAAAGGGAAACCAACCCCGCCGGTGCGGGAATCTCCCCTAGAAAAGCAGACACACCTCCATATGGGAATGGTTGCCCGGGCGGCCATCACTGAGATGAACACGGTCTTCAAAAGAGTGGCGGTTGTGGGAAATTGGGTCATCCTTGTGCGGATTTGAACTGGTCCTGGTTTGTCGAAGTCTCGGCGAAGGCAATGGAACTGCCCGTGAGAATTAAGTGCGCGTTCCTTTCAGAATGGCGAGGTTCCTGATCCAGCCATAGTTCAAACCGAAAGCCCTATCATCTTGGATCCCGGGAGCTAGCCCATTTTGAACAATTACCCAAAGGGAAACCAGGGGATGGATAATTGCATTGTTTTTTTTGCAGAATCCCCCCCTCCCCCACCGAAGGAATGGCTGGGGGCAGGGCCACTTGGCAGGTTTCACTCACCTTTTAAGGGCGGCCCATAGAACAGGCAAATTCCGGGGTTGCATGGATCGCCTGGCTAACTTTCGGGGCCAAGCACTCTTGAGGTTTCCAACCAGAGACACAGGTGCTCAGTCCCCCCTAAATTTCCCCAGCTGTTCAAACTGTGGGTTGCCAGTTCAATTTAACTTGGGTTGGTGCATTTTGCTTGGATGTTAGGACTTTAACTTTTGCCAACTGATGGGTTTTCCATTAAACCACTAAAAGTTAAACTTTTAGCAGAGGAGCAGATTTTGCAACCAAGTTTCCTTTTCTGTTCAAACTGTGGTTGCCAGTTTAAAACGAGTTGCCTTGTGGGGTGGTGTCGGGTTGGACCTGGGATCAGGCTTTTCCTCTCGACCGCCGGAGGGGCACTGCGTCTTGGTTCCTTAACGGCCTGGCCGGACTCCCCCCCTCAAAAAGAAGAGAGAGGGTGGTTTTCCGTTTGGGTTTCCCCTTCATTTTCAGCCCCCAAGGAGCAGCCCCAAAAGAAACACCCTGCTTAGGTGCTCAAAGCCCTGCGACCGAGGTCAGCGAGGCTGTCCAGGAGAAGAAGAGCCTCGAGCAGAAGATCGGCAGGCGACGAAGCCGATGGGCGGCACGCCTCTCCATTCGACAAAACGCCCCGCATTCCACGGAGCGACTCGGTTTCGCGAGGTTTCCCTTTCAACCGACCTGGAAAGGCGACCCAGAAACAACACAAAGCCTTGGCCACCATTGGGCCCCTCCCCCCCCAAATAGAAACAAAAGCAACATTTGGTCAACGTTGGGAACCCCATTTCCCCAAAGAAAAACAAGCCCAACGACTAAAAGGGCTCTGAGCCACGAACAGCACCTTGTGTCAGGCCTTCCCAATATGCCATGGATCCATCCAAGTTAAAGGCACCGAAATTGGATGGCCCACATTTGTTGGGAACCAAGGAGCTTCTCGTTGGGCCAAGGGGCGAAAAAAGGCCTTGCCAGTTGGGGAGTTGGGGTGTTGGCGAGTTGGCGAGTTGGGGTGTTGGGTAGTTGGGGAGTTGGGGAGATGGGGGGGGTCGAACCCCCAATATTTTTTGTGTATATACTGTATATATGTTCCAGGCCGTGAACCTCTGCGGGGGAGGGGGGGGGACCCTTCCCTTGGCGGCCTGGGGACTGGAACATATAAAGACGATATACACACCCAGTGGCTGTACAGATCTGTTCGGCCAGAAAAAGTGAGTTTTCCCGTTTGGAGTGGAGTCAAAGACTGGAAATGTAAGCTTGGTGCAACTTGCCATGGCTTGGTTGGTTCTTCGGCGCGGCTTCTTTGCCTTTGGCCGACCTGGGTGGTACCTGGGCCGACTGTCTTAGGCCCCTACCTACCTTCCGAACCACGAGCCCGAGGGAAAGTAAGAGGTGCAACTGCGTAACCATCATGTAAGCGGCACAAACCGGGAATGCCGGCGTCCCTACACGTCGCCTCTTGGCGCGGGCGCGCGATCCTTTTTGGAACCCTGGGGTACTTGGTCCGTGGTTAGGTGGTTTAGCCTGATGTCCATGGTTCTAAGTCTTCTACCAGGGCAACAAGGCAATGATTCCCAGCAACCCTGACCCATGAGGTTACTAAACAGTTCCTCCCGGACCAGAAGCGCCTCTGAATTTTGAATAGGGAAGCACCTCAAGAGTGGTTGGCAAACAGGAAACCCCGAATTCTGATGTCCACATGTTCACCAAAGCGGGTGGTGAACATGAACCCCCGAATTCTGATGTCCACCAAAGGGTCCGAAATTAGACTTGCTGCTCAGTAGGGACTGAGGGACTGAATCCAGGGGTCCCCCTAAAGGAAACCACGAGGGATGGTTTATCAGGGTCATTCCATTCCTCATTCCCCGCCAATCGCACCAGCAAGTAAAGTTCACGCCCACGTGCCGCTTGTTGGCCTCAGGGAAGAGGCCTCCCATGCCAGCCTCACCAGCCGGGCGCCGCGGCGGTTTGTTCGGTTTGCCTTCGCACAGTTGTTGGCGTCAGATTTCCAGCGGCTTCCTGAACAAGAAAGAGGGGGGTGCGGAGGTAGACTAGAAAACTGGGAGTTGGGGACCTGTCACCCCCTCCCGTTTCAGGTGCCGGGATGGTGGCAGGATACGGGTTGTGAATTTCACGGAGGGGTAGTTGGCAGATGGGGTCGGGATTGAGGATGTTTCGCTTCCCGTTTCGGGAAGTGGATCGCATTTGCTTTTAGTCGGACCAGAAGAGCGAGTTGTCAAGGGAAGGTTGCACAAAGCCAAACTGGGATCTTTTGGAGTGTTGTTGGCCACTCTCAACTCCATACTGATGAACCACCAGGAACCACCTGAAATCATTGCTGACGAGGCATAACCAACGATTTGCATGAACTGCTTACAGTCTTGTAATTTGCGCTGGCCCACCGCGATATGTGCATATCCCGGCCTGCTCGATCAATGCCGCGTGATTTACTGCAAATTCCTTCGACAGTCATAAACTGCACAGAGCTGCTTCCCACGGATTTTGAGGGGCATTTAGCTGCTCTTGGGTGGTTTTCATGTTCGGATGGGTGTGGACTTCTTTCATGTCGACCGGCGCACTGTCTCCGAGCCCGATGCTCCAGCACGCTGTGGCTGGGCCAACTCCAGAACCAAGGGCATTTTTGGTTCGCATATCCCTTTTGCGGCCCGCTGCGAGTGCGCAGGCTCCCTGAAATGACAAAGTCTTGAAAGCAGCTTTGGACATGGCGGGTGTATTGTTGACCCCAGACGAATCAACCAACCAGTGTGTTAATAGGGGGGTGCTTTGCCCGTTTAGCGAGGAATCAGACCACTTGTGGAGTGCGGGCCCCACCGCCCTATTAATACACTGGTTGGTTGATTCATATGGGATCAGCATTAGCTTCATTTGTCCGACCGCCAACTTACCTGCGAGCACCTGGGATTTTGTCCTTAGCCGCCGGTGTTTCGCCTTGTTTTCGGTTGCTCCGAGTCGTTTCTATTGATCAAACGGGGAGGTGATCAACGGTTTGGCGGTTTCCTTTGGTTTCCTCTGTTCTTCTTGCTGTCTTCTTCTTGCAACATAATTTTTCTTCGGTTTTCCGTTGCTTTCCTTCGGTTTCCTTCATGAGTTTCCTGCTTCTTCTCTATATTTGTTCGCTTTCCGCCCGATCTAATTCATCTCCACGGTCGCCTCCGGTTGTGGAACCCGTCGAGCGGCTAAAGGCCGGGTCAGCGGATTGCAGCGGGACATCAAGAAGCTCAAGTCCCAGGAGGCCAGCGCGGAGCAGGCGGCGGCGGCGGGAAAGCGCTAAGGGGGGAAAGCGGCGTCCGCGGAGCTGCGGCTTTGGAGGCGAAAGAAAAGAAGAACACTTTTTTTTTGTTTTTTTATGGTTTTTTGTTTCCTCTCGTGTTTGTTTTATTTCTATTTTTTTCTTCTGGAGAAACGCTTAAAGTTGGGTCCCCCCGCAAAAAAAGGAAGTCCCCAAAGGACTTCCGTTCTGGTCATTTTTTGTAGGTGATCCGCTTAGGGTTCGGAGCGCCTTGAGTTGGTAAATCCCCAAGTCTGGGGTACAGGGCCACCCCTTCAAAAGCAGGTGACTTCTCCCCCTTGTGTTTTACATAGTGCTTTTTCTCCTGGGAATATCGGAATAATAATTTCAACCGGGGTGGCGCAAGTTCACTTTCAGACCGCGGTTGGGTTTCGGTTTATTGGCCCCTCAGCGGGTGTTTCCCGCTGTTCTTGGCTGGCCCTTGTTCGGGTCACCGAGATGTCTTCGAGTCGCGAGCCTATCCCACGGGTTTTGCTTTGGGTATGAGGCCAACCGACTAAAAGGAAGGACCATGGCAACCCCCTGTTCTATTCAACATACTGTGGATGGACGAAATCCTGCACCACTTTAGAAAACCATGGGAAACCATTGTTTGTGGGTATTACAGGAGAATCATCATTCCAGGGTTTCTGAGGGGGTGCAGGATTTCGTCCATCCACAGTATCAACAATTTCGAAGGAGGTTCCACCTGGCTCATCTCATTCGCTCCAATAGCCCTCGTCCGTGAAGCATTTGGGGTTGCTGGTTTCTGGTTGGTGAATCATAATCACCCGGAGTGACCATCCTTGAACAGGAATGGGATAGAGCAATAGACCCTCTTAACTATTTGGTTTCTTCGAAATCGCATCCTGGCCAGCTTTCACGGTAATTGGAAATTCGGAACTACTACTGGCTAGTTTCTGAGCAGTTGGGGTCAAGGGTTGCAAGAGCATGTACAATCACGACCGCTGCCGTCTTTGCCGAAAGCACACCTATGCCATGAACAAATGCCCATGCCGTACCTGTAAGGGAAGATGATGACATCATCCACCAGCTTGCCAAAAAAAGCCAATCATCTACCAGGGCCATGGTTCTTTCTATGGACCCTCTTGTCTGACGCTTTTTCCCACGCGCAGATCTTCGCAAACGGGGACATGTGCCTCCAATTTTAGGGGGCCCCAAGATGTTCCTTGGTCAGCATCACCTTCCCTAGGCGTCAAGAGGCGATGTTTGGAAGGGGCACAAGTTGCGCAAAACGACCAGACAGCCGGCGGCTTAAAAAGAGAACTTGGCCCATCTTGCTGCGAGAGGTAGGTTCTGACCATTCAACCAGAAGGTGTTTTTGTTTTTTTTTTCTCAGGAAATAGTGATGGTTTATAGGTGTCGTTCCCTCATACCACTCAACCAGAAGGGGATTTGTTTTCAGGAAATCATAGTGGATGGAAGAAAAGGAGTCGTTCCCTCATTCCCTGCTGAGATCCAGCATGGGCCCCTAGATGTTGGTCAGCTTCCATGCTGGAGAATTGGATTGCAAACGGCCAAACGCAGCTCAAGCCTATTCCCCAAACTGCAAGGAAGGCTTCCTGAGACGGTCCTCGTTCTTTCCGCTTTCCGTGTCGCTGGTCGCTGGGTTGGTTTACACAAACTCCGAGCCAAGATTGGCTTAATCGCCATTGGCGGTTTCTGAGACCACCTTAACCCTTTGCCAGGGGTTGTCAAAACATCGAAACCCGGCCGCACCCCAACTCAGTCCCCGCATCGATCTCTCGCGCCCGGAAGTCCAAGCCGATCCGATCGATCGCCGGCTCCGGTTTTGGAAGGCCTCGAAGCAGCTGCAGGGCGACCTGGCGCGGCTGGACGAGGCCAAGAAGGCGCACACCTGGGACCCGGGGGGGTTGGGGTGGGTTGGGGGGGTGCTGGGGGGGTTCTGGAGGGGTTGGGGGGGTTCTGGAGGGGTTGGGGAAAAAATAGTAAAAGGAGAATTCAAAGAATTATTCTTTCTACTATTTTTTCTCCAACAGCAACACAACAAACAGAAAACAAAATCCAGAACAACAAGCAAACAAAATAAATAATCACAACCAGCAACAAAAATATTTAATCACAGCATGCAACATTAAATAATTCAAACAAGCATACCAACAAAACAGCAACACTCTAAATCATCAAAGAACCCAAACTCAAAAACACACATCAACAAAAAACAAAGCAACATACCAACAAAAAATATCACAAGAGCATCAAACAAAACAAAAACAAACAGCCAAAGCACGAAAAAATCAAAAGAGCATACCAAGTCTAAACAACGCACTTTGAAAGAGATAAGCAAATTATAATAATTCAATCTTTACAAACGATAAATATATTACAATTATAACATATAATATTTTACATGTGATAATCATAGTATGATTATAATTTCAGTTCAGGATAATAATTTAATTGCAACTCTTTTGAATGAACTTTTTGGGGGTGTAGGCTACCACCTTTTGGGGGTGTAGGGGTGTAGGCTACCACCTTTTGGGGGTGTAGGGGTGTAGGCTACCACCTTTTGGGGGTGTAGGCTACCACCTTTTGGGGGTGTAGGCTACCACCTTTACCATGTGTGTTTTTTCTTTTTGGTGCCCTTCCCTTACCTCCCCTTTAACCTTGTTTATTTCAAGTTTGAGCCAAAACCCCAAACTCAAAATCCTTAATCCGTCAAACTCACTAAGATTTCACAAATTAATTCGCTAGGTATTTTATATAAATCTTCCTGTTTATGTATTGTTGGATTGTCTCCCCAATATTCCTTAGTGCCTGATGGCAACCGTTGTGCTGTTTCAATATGTTTATTATTCCTGATGTTGCCACAATCCTTTTTACATAATTCTCTAGGTTTCCAAGTTGTAATGTTATTCCATAGCCTAGTCCTCTTTCTATAATTAAATCCATATTTACAATAATCAACATCTTTAAAATCAAACTCATCCATAAACTCCTGATGTTTTAATAATCCAGTTTGTGGATTTTCGATTACAAAATATTTAGGATTGAAATATTTGATAATCTCAATAGTTTTTAAGACAATATTATTTGCATATTCAATATTCCTAGTTCCCCTAGTTTTTGCTATGCTGTATTAAGTGCATGGAGGACTACTCCAAATAAAATCAAAATGGTTTCTGTCAAATTGTTTATAATCCCACTCTAAAATATCAGTGTTGATATCAGCATTTTTCAAGTCTAATGATATCACATTAAATCCAAGCGACTTTGCTATGGTTCCAACGCTTTTTGTTCCACTAAATAATTCTAATAAATTCATTTATTAGAATTATTTAGATATTATTTATTCAAATAATACATATACTCCATCATCATTTTTTGACATTTTGTAAAATCCTAAAGTGGTGCTTTTAGGTTGTTTGATTTTTCCTGTATTCAACATATCACAGTATTTCTTTTGCTTTGTCGGGTAGTCGCCCGATGGTCTTCCTATAGATTTTGCTTGAAATATCTTTTCGATTTTTTCTTTATCTTCATTGCGTTCAACTGGTTTCATTTTGTCATCAATGGATTTAATCATATCATTTAAGGTTTTAATATTTTTACCAATTAATGTTATCTTCTTCATTAAATCATTAATACTATAATTCTCATTTTCAGACATTACTATATATTTATTTAGATAATTATTTATTTAATTATACGTTTATTATATAATTTACCTGAATAATTTAATGTTATATATGTAAATAAATTATATTCTAAGAGTCTTTCATCAATTTTATTTTTCAATTTTATTAAACCTTCATCGTTACCTGTAATTTCAAAAAACTTCAACATTTTATCAAATTTATCTGGTTTAGTTATACCTTTCATAAAATATTTATTATTAAATTTAGCATCTAACCAATAAAAATATTCTATACTCAATTGTCTAGCAAAGTTTTTATCACCATCGAATAGGTCTTTAATTTCTTCATTGTCAAAAGTAATAATTCTATGGTCTTGTCCATTCATAGTTGGCATTATGATTATATAAATAATTAGATATTTATTTAATATTTATTTATTTATTTATATTTATAAAGTGCAATTATGTTAAATCTACTCTTTAAATACTAATTTTTCATGATTTGTTTAACAGTTTCCTGAGTTTCATTTTCATTATTATCGGTTGGTGTTGCTTGCCTACCAAATTTAAAAGTTATACTATGGACATCAGTTTCTAAGTTGATACTGTCTTTAGTTTTATCAATATTCATTTTCTTATCATTTTTACTTATTTTGAAACTTGTTGGAATACATGAACATTTACAACTTTTATTATTTTTTATTTCTAATACATTCTTAAGTTCTAACATTCTTTTACATGTAGGACAAACAACCTCAATAACTGATGTTTCTTTAACAATTTCTTCATCAGTTGATGAAACACTTAAACCTGTCTTATTCTTTTTGTTTTTCTTTTTTCCCATTTATATTAATATTTATATTTTTAATATATTGTATCAAAAACTTAATTAATTCTAAAATAAAATAACATATTTTTTTACATCTATTATCAGTTATTAGTACTTGTTCTATATTCTCCATTTCATCTATTATATTAATATAATCTGTATAACTCCTTTTCATATTAAATAATAAGATAAATTATTTTTCATTTCTGTCTTTCTTTTCTTGTAAAGTTTTTTCATTGTATCGTCCTTATTCCACCTATATTCTACAAATTTCTGATGATGTTTTGAATTTAGATGTTTAAATAAATATTTGCTATCATAAGTTTTACAACAATTGCAATGAATAACAGTCATATAATAATAAGATAAAATAATTATTTAAATTATTTAATTTTATTATCCCTTAATATTAAATAGAATATTTATTTAAATTATTTTCTTTAGTAAGTTTTAATGCAGTTGGTATATCAACATCTAGAATATTATTATTAATAAGTTTTTGTACACCATTTATCATTTCATTTGTATATCTATCGGGATAATCTTTCATAAAATTCAATAATTTATTATAATTTAAAATATCCTCATTTTCGATTGATGATTTAGGTATTATATTTTTTTGTTATTAATCACCGATAAAAACGTTAAAATCGTATCATAATACATTTGGCCAGTCTCTGGAACTAAAACATCACCGAATTTATATATCGTCTGAATACTAATAACTTCATTTGGATTAATAGATATTCTTGGCATTATGATTATATAAATATTTATATATTTTTTTATTTATAAGTATTTATAATATTATTTTTATTATGCCTGATGTAAAACCAATTGATGAAATCAAATATGACTTTAAGCAAAGTAAGCATGAGGTCGTCCCTAAATTGCCGATGAGAGCTATGATCGTCGGTCCATCTGGAAGTGGAAAATCAACTTTACTTGTATCAATGATACTTGATATTTATAGAGGAGCATTTGAAAGAATTTTTATCTGGTCTCCATCTGTAAATTTAGATAGTATTTGGTTGCCTGTTAAAAAATACATTAAAGAAGGTTTGAAAGTAGATAATGATAAAGAACCGTGTTGGTGGGATGAGTTCAATGTTGAAGATTTAGAAAGAGTTATAGAAACTCAAAATAAAATAATTGAATACCAGAAAAAACAAGGAACGAAGAAATTATTTAATATTTTGGTAATTTTGGATGATGTATCTGATAATCCAGCAATAACAAGAAATAACAAATTGTTAAATTCTTTATTCTGTAGGGGACGTCATAGTGGAATATCAACACTTGTAAGTCTTCAAAAATCATCAACAGTACCACCAATTATTAGGGTAAATATAAGTCATTTGTTTTATTATAAAGTTAGAAATTTTAAAGAGATAGAAATATTGCAAGATGAATTATCAGCAATTGTTAGAAGCGATAATTTACATGAAAGCAAGAAACTAATTTATAAAATATATGAGACTGCCACTGATGAACCGCATAGTTTTTTATATATTAACCTTTTAGAAAAGAACCCAGATAAAATGTTTATGAAAAAGTTTTCTCAATATTTGAAAATTACTAATTAAATAATTAAATAATTAAATAATTAAATATATATTAATATTATATGATATTTTATGATTTACCATTAGAAATTAAAGACATAGTATTATCTTATAATTTAGGTGATGTTAGATTATTAAAAATAAAAAATAGTAATATTATTAAAAATTATATTAATATATATAAACCAGTTTATAAATCTTACATATTAAATAACATACATTATTTCGAAATTGATAATATCAATATTAATAATGGATTATTATATGTTTTTAATTTAAGTGAGTTAGATAAATTACATCAAAAAAGTAAACCATTAAAATTATTTATTGAATATGATATATTTGTTACATTTAGCTCGTTTACTCGTTGGTTTAATGTGTGTAATCGAACTTTAATATCAATTAATTTATTTGATATTTATTATTTTCTTAATAAAGACCTTCATAAAGTTAAATTAGTGTATGCGAGTGATATGGCTAATTTTATTTCATTACAAGTGAAAAAAATAACTATTAAAGTCATCAATGAAGATGACCAAATTATTATTGATGACTTTTATTTTTATCTTTAAAATTAATAGCATTAAGATTATGACTTAATGTCATTAATTCAGAGCAAACTATAACTACACAAATTTAATGCTGGTAATTTATATATTAATTTATCAGATTTTTCTTTTTCAATTTTGCACATTCTTTCACTCATTTGCTTAATTGCTTTTAACTGCAATTTATCAATATTACTTAAATCTAATTGTTCTATATCAATATCATTAATTTTATCAATACTTGAAGTTTCAACATTACTATTTGAATTACCCATTATATATTATTTTAGATTATAATATAATACAATAA